TATTAGATTAGAGAGAGAATAATGGGTAAACTTCCATTTGTTGTTTCATTAATTTTATACATTCATCGTTTGATTCTTGCATGGGACCTGAGGGGGGAATGGAACCTGCAACCTTGGCATTATTGAGATGATCATTTAATCAATTGAGCTCGCTGGCCATGGCCAAATTTACCAGGGGTTTTAAATAAAATAACTCACTAATGTTTCTGAGAATAGATAGATACTAGAACTACCATGATGGCAGATAATGATAGAAGGCTGGGGTAGGATTCTTGAAATTTCATAACTGTTTTCTTTATATGGATACTAGAGGTCTGGTGCAAGAAATTCGTTTATGGGTAGGGTCTGGCCGACGATCAGCGCTGATCAGGTCTTCAGGCTGTCTCCCGGGGAATTCATTTATTCTGTGCTTCCCCCTGGTGGTCAGTACATGTCATAATGAGCAATCAAACTCCCCGTCTTCGGGTCAAACTCCCAAGGGGGCATTTTGCATATTAGACTTTTATATATATATACTAGAGGCCAATTGCACGAAATCGTGCATGGGTGGGGTCAAGCTTCCAGGAGAGGGGATGTGGGAGATTGGCCGCTGGCCCTGACCCTGATCGGGGATGGGCCGGTCAGGTGGGGGAGGACGAGAGTGCTCATCAATTTGAATGATCAGGAATGCTGAATTGTCAAAAACACAAAATCTGGGACTAATCATAAGGTGATCCTTCCTCTAGCTTTGAGTTCTTGCCTGTTGTGATAACCTTGAGGTGAACACCATAGAGCAGTGGTTCTCAACCTTGCTAATGCTGCGACCCTTTAATACAGTTCCTCATGTTGTGGTGACCCCCCACCATAAAGTTATTTTTATTGCTACTTCATAACTGTAATTTTGCTACTGTTATGAATCATAATGTAAATATCTGATATGCAGGATGTATTTAGGCAACCCCTATGAAAGGGTTGTTCGACCCCCAAAGGGGTTGCGACCCACAGGTTGAGAACCGCTGCCATAGAGGGACCCAGGAAATCCCCAAAACCATGAGATTATTTTCACAACCAATCACTTCAGCTACACAAAGAACAAACAAGCTTCAAAACTGGGTCATTTGTGGATAATGTTCAGAAGAGGCAATTTTCATCCAATATACTGCCGTCTCTTCCACTCACTATGAAAACAGTGTTTGTCCCAATATTACTTGCACTTCACAGTGTTACAACAAATGAAACCAGCCTAAGAAATTTCACACATCATGGCACCTCACCAATAATACAGGCGCCAGGCTAAAAAATTAGAACCAAAAACTCATGCAGATTTTTGCTAAAGGACTTGGTCAGCAATACAAAATAAACCAATATTGGACAAAGAGTGATTTTTTGCCATTATTATGTGCCTTCCAAAGCCCAGAAAGTTTGGGACCCCACCATTTCTGTTCACCTCTGTGTGTGACAGATCACAACTATCCTTTCAAATCACCCATTGCAGTGAATATAACCCACAAAATTAAAGGTACAAAAGCAAAAAACACCTTTATTGAAAGATCATAAACCAGAAGAGAAGACAGCAAGCAGTTTGTAAGTTGGTGAATTAGAACCTAAAACAACTCCCCAGAGGATAATGAGAGAACAATGATAGAAGCACAAAAAAGGACTCCTCTTCTGAGGGACCACTGACCACACCAACATTAGAGGCACCAGGCTGCAAATTGGAACCACAAAGTTATGCAAACTTTCTTTCATTGCCTTGGTCAAAGGTATAAAAGAAGCCAATATTGGACAGAGTGATTTTTCTGACATTATTATATGCTTTCCAAAGAACAGAATGTTTGGGACATCACCATATCTGTTCATCTCGCCATGATGATAGATCACAACTTTCGTATCAAATCATCCAGAGAGTGGAATTTTTTTAAAAATTAAAACTATGAAAGAATAACATCTTTACTAAAGATCATAAACCAGAACAGAGGACAGTAACCAATATGCAGGTTGGTGAATTATAAAGTAAAACAATTCATAAAAGCATAATGTGAGACCCACAATATCCCTGAAAGTGGTAGCACTCCCTAGCTTAGGATGCGTAGTCTGGACAAACCCTGGGTCAGTAGCATTCCCTAGTCGGAGAGAAAGGAATGAAGATCCTGTCAAGAGCTTGGAGTAATCTGAATTTTCCCAAGCACAAGTGAGAACACAGAATACATTTTCCCCAAGCACACAGGGTTTGTGACTGATGCACACTCTTCAGGTGAGCCAGGTGGTAGAGGGGAAATCTCTTCAGCACAAATGCTCGCTGTGACATCAATCGGGTAGTAAGTCTGGGCATGTTAGCAAGTGCAATGCAGCGCCTTCAAGCCTCACTTGTACCTGAAACTTATGAGGAATCTAACAGAGTGTATGTTCCATTAAAAGGTGTTTAAATTTAGGAAAATAGGTCCCAAAGAGTTGCTTCAGTGTTGTAATTCTAAGTGAGAAAAATAAAAACATTCCCTGCACATTTAACACATCTCTCCAGTGTGAACTTTCAGGTGTTTAATAAGGTTAGATTTTTGGCTAAAAGATTTCCCACATTCAGTACACTCATATGGCTTCTCTCCAGTGTGAACTCTCAGATGTACAGTGAGGTGAGCCCTTTGCCGAAAGGACATCCCACATTCTCTACACTCATATGGCTTTTCTCCACTGTGAACTCTGTGGTGTTCTTCAAGGTAAGACTTATCACTGAAGAACTTCCCACAATCATAACACTCATATGGCTTGTCGCCACTGTGAACTCTCAGGTGTTTAATAAGGTTAGATTTTTGGCTAAAAGACTTCCCACATTCAGTACACTCATATGGCTTCTCTCCAGTGTGAACTCTAAGGTGTGCAGTGAGATGAGCCCTTTGCCGAAAGGACATCCCACATTCTCTACATTCATATGGCTTTTCTCCACTGTGAACTCTGTGGTGTTCTTCAAGGTAAGACTTATCACTGAAGAACTTCCCACAATAATAGCACTCATATGGCTTGTGGCCACTGTGAACTCTCAGGTGTTTAATAAGGTTAGATTTTTGGCTAAAAGACTTCCCACATTCAGTACACTCATATGGCTTCTCTCCAGTGTGAACTCTGAGGTGTCCAGTGAGGTGACTCCTTTGATGAAAGGACTTCCCACATTCTCTACACTCATACAGCTTTTCTCCAGTGTAAACTCTCTTATGTTGAATGAGGTTAAAGATTCGTCTAAAAACTTTCCTACATTTGTTACACTCATAAAGCAGTTCTCCAGAACAGACACCCTGAATTTGAACAACTTTCAGGTCGTTGCTGCCAGCGTTTTCACATTCACCCCTCTGATGAAGACTTTTTCCATCAAGAAATTCCTGGGAAATCCCACTGCCACAGTGTAGCTCCTCAGTGTTGAGAGTGGCCTGGTGCTGGGGAAACTCTGAGTTGTATTGAAAGTCTTCTCCAACCTTCCTGCTGGTTGAAGGCACTGAAGATAAGTAGAAGCTGCAGCTGTTCACAAACGAGGCCCTGCCCACAGCTTGTTTCCAGGGCCCCTCTCCACATTCATTCCTCTGTTGCTGGTGAGGGTTTGCACTGAAACAGCCATCTCCAACACATGTGTCACTACAGAAGGTTTTCTGCTCAAAGTATGCTTCACGTGACTCAGTCAGGTGCAAAATATGTTGTAACACAGAGAAACACTGCTTACACAGAAGGGTCTTCTGGGTGGCTGGAGCTGTCTTAGAAGCCCTGACCTGTGACTCTCCTTGTATAGATACACTTTGACTAGAACAGGCCTCCTTATCATCCATGTTATGCCAACAACCTGAAAAGTGAGAAAGAGTGAGAAAATGAATGTTGAATGTGGTGACAGGGGGAATTTCCAATGCAAAAGTGTGTTACACATCACAGTTGGTACATGCAATTCTCTGAAAATAAGAGACGTGCAAAAGGATTAATAAGAGGCTCTTGTAACTTTTTGGGCTAATGAAGATCACAAAACAGAAAGGCCTCGCCAGAAATATGACACAAAAATGGCAAGCACCATATGGATTAGAATATGGAGCTCAAGCTAATCCTTCAACTAACAGCATTCAGCAGGGCTTGTTGACTGGGGAAGGGGGCAAGCTGAGCAAGAGGTTGGTTCCGTCTTACTCCAAGTAAAATTCAATAAAGGAGTAGCTGGTTTTGAGGACTAATTACCACATATGTGCACCTCATAACACATGTGGAAGTCAATGTTGCAGATGACTGCAGAGGCACCAGTGCAGAGAAACAGGTGATGAAGAGGTGAGCAGTCATCACTGGGCCAGAGCTACATAGCTTGCTATAGTATTCAGGGAAGAGAATATTACAAACAATTGAATGAAAGTCTTAAAAGAACAGCCCATAGTTCATGTAAGTAAAAACCATAACATGACCCAGGTTGCCAAAAAGAACCATTACCCAGAGGAAGAGTGCAGAAGTTGAAGCCATGTATATGGACACTGTCAGCCTCCCATGAAGAGAAAGTGCAAGCTGGGACCTATTAAGCTCACTGCAAAACTCCTGACTCTCTGTTTCCTCTGCTTTTTGAGGTAACAGGTGTTAGGGATGTTCATGGAGTCCTTTGTTCAGGGCTCTCCATCCAGATCATCCCTGGCAGCCACAGCACATTTGACAAGGCAGTGGGGATAATTAGCACAGGCCATGTTCCCACTGTGGGAGAGAGAAAGCTTTGCGTGAGGAATAAAGGAAGAGAGGTCATCACCTCAGGACACTGGGAGAACATCAAGGTCTTACCTACAGATGACACAAGTGCAAACACTTTCAGCATCACATCATAGTATAGAAGTCTCTGAGCCTCATCAAGGAGCCCCCATTCCTCCTGAGAGAAGACAATGGCCACATCCTCAAAGTTCATATCCTGTCATAATGGGGACAGTACAGCCCAAGATCAGCTTCACTCCTAAGATTCTTAGTCTGTCATACTCCCCACCCTCCACATCCATCTGCTCTGTCCACTCCACACATCAGAGAAAATACCAGGCCTTCATCCCATGAAAGCCATTGTCTTCTTATATTCCTACTGACATTTTGTCTTCCCACTATAATAAAGGCAGATAAGACACCTGAGCTATGGACTCCTGTGTACACCACACTGACTTTTATCAACAGAGTGGGTGTCAAAACCATAGGTTAAAGAGAGATGCTGGCCATAAAGATAGTGTGAGTGATTTGATACTGGTTTTGTCAGGCAATACCCTCATATTGTTTCTCAAAGACACCAAATACATGGCATCACACTGCACCCTATTGACCCCAATCCCAAGGTACTGAGGCCATGGCTTTGCACTACCTGTTGCACAGAGTTCTTTGAACAACACTTCTCTCACACAGCTTCATTCTCAGAAGCACAACTTCAAAGGTAATGCAAATTTGCTGTGGTGAGGACAAATTGTCTCCTAATCACTTTTTTCCAAAATTATAGTTCACCACATTCATAATCTCTTACCCCTTACCCTTCTCCCTTACCCATTCCAGTGGAGATTTTGAAGCCTGGGTAATACTGATGTAGGCTATCTCATTCCTATCAACCCGTGTGTCACCCCCAACAATAAAAGGCAGGTGGTTAGTTAAATGGCAACGAAGCTCTGTATCTAGAATGTAGCACCAAAACACCCCTCTTTAACGGCAATCACCCTAAAAGTCACTGTACTGGATCATCCAGACATCACCAGAAATGGACTCTCTCGTCATTCACTCTTATGTCAATGTCAGGGTGCTGTGGCCATCAATTCACATTCCCTCTTCAAGTGCACATCACTCTTTTCCACACGTGGTTCACACCTGCACTCCCTCAGCCCCAGCCCCCATAGTGCTCTCCTTGGCCTGTGAGTTAACTCAGCATTTGTTGTCCAGAGAATGCTTGCCAACATCTCTCACTTAACCACAACTCAAGTCCCACACCCAATGGCGTTCTGACCATGCCCAGTGAGTTTCACAGATGACCACTCAAGACTCTAAGCTAATCCACAAGACTGTCTGCCACTCTCCAAAACCAGGCCACACCAAGGGTCACAACAAAATCCTAGTGAGTGTTTAGAGAAGTTAATATGTACCAGCCCTAGTCTCAATTTGTTTGAATAACTCTTCAGCCTCTAAATAATATCAGGTCCATTCTCTTTTAAAGGCCTTGGCCACTGCAAAATGATTACCTCTTCCCCACACTCTTCATGACAACTTCTATCTCTCTGCTGTGTTGTGACACCCACCTTCCACAGTGGCCCCAGCAGGAAAGCTAGACCTCAGGCTCACACTGTCCCTTCTGAGCTACTACTACCCTTACCAACCTGACCATGATTTCCTATATATTTTTTAAAATATATTTTTATTGATTTCAGAGAGGGAGAGGGAGAGAGAGATAGAAACATCAATGATGAGAGAGAATCACTGATTGGCTGCCTCCTGCATGCTCTCTACTGGGGATCAAGCCTGCAACCTGTTCATGTGCCCTTGACCAGAATCGAACCTGGGAGCCTTCAGTCCACAGGCAGACACTCCATCCACTGAGCTAAACTGGCCAGGGCTCCTATATTAAAGTGATCTACAGTCCTGGCTGATGTGTCTCAGTTGGTTGAGCATAGACCAGTAATGGCAAACCTATGACACGCGTGTCAGAGGTGACACGCGAACTCATTTTCTTGGTTGATTTTTCTTTGTTAAATGGCATTTAAATATATAAAATAATATCAAAAATATAAATCTTTGTTTTACTATGATTGCAAATATCAAAACATTTCTATATGTGACACAGCACCAGAGTTAAGTTAGGGTTTTTCAAAATGCTGACACGCCGAGCTCAAAAGGTTCACCATCACTGGTATAGACCCATGCACTGGTGAAGTCACATGCCATGGTTGTGGGCTGGATCCACAATAGGGGTTGTGCAGGCTGCAACCAATCCTTGTTTCATGCTCATCAGTGTTTCTCTGTCCCTCTCCCTCTCCCTTCTCTTCTATATCTAAAATTTACACACACACACACACACACACACACACACACATATATATATGTTTATTTAAGTATCTGCAGGTTCCTAAATCAGCTCACTCTTCACTACAAGCCTTTGCACAATCTGTAACCAATGCCCTGCAGGATCTACCACTCATTACACTGGTTGCTAAATACAAGGTCCACTACATGAAGCCCTAGATATGACCTTAGGAGTCTGGGCTTAGTGTCTGTTCAAAGTCCCCAGGTCCAAGGGATACAAGAGCAGCTGGACAGCCCCAGGACACAACTATCTCACAGGCCACAAGAGTGTGAAGGCCTGAAATTATATTCACCGTCCCGTACACCCAACTCATTCTGCATTTGCAGGAATTCGTGTAAAGAAAATGGTCTCTTGGGAGCCTGGCAAACACCACCAAGATCTATGGGCTCAGGCTGCTCAGTGCCCTTGCCCAGCCCAAGGCCAGGTGCCCTCCAGATGCCTGTGTTATCTCAGGGCTCCATCCTCAGTGCTCACTCTTGCCAGTTACCTGATATTTACAGGACTTCACCTTCCTGTCCACAGCTGCTGTCTTCTCTCTTCTTGTCTGTCCTTCCTCTGAGCAATGTTAGGAAAAGTTAGAACCCTACCCCACAAAATGTCCCTCCTTTTTTCCCAACCATCTATGCTCCCAGCATTCTCAGAGTGAAAGTAAACCTCCTCGTGCAAAACCACACCTCATCTCCTTTGTTGCCTTTAGACCCAAAACAGGCCCGGGTTTTCCTAATCCTCCTGGCTCAGCTCCTCCCCCGTGTCCTTAGAAGGTGGCATTGCAGCCTGTGGCCCTCTTCCCCCATCACACCCTGTGTCACTCAGTAGAGACTCACTGTTCTAGATGTGGCTTCCTGGGCTGCAGGACCTGAGAGGCGCCAGTCCCCAAGGCTGGGGGGTTAAATGGGGTCAGGCTGCGGGAACGCGTGGGCAGAGAGGAGTCCCGGAGGCACCGAGGCCCCACTCCCAGCCTGTTGGTGCTCAACAAGCCTCAGACACACCCTGCACAGCAAGGACGCTGCCTCCTAGGCCTCCTTCTACTCATGTCCAGTGGGCTGAAGCCTGTGAGTCCTTGAACTGAAGGTCAAAATGCCCGCCAGGAGGAGGAAGGTGGAAGTCCCGCCCTAACCGGATGCACTGACACCAAAACACCCGTTAGCTCCGCCCACGTGGGCCCATTTCTTTCTGGGTAATGTAGTTTTCTCAAACGCCAAGGGGAGGGCTAGCATCCAGGCCAATGACACTAGTGCATAAAGGTGATGTGGTTCAGCAAGTGGCCCTGGGGAAGGACAAGATGGGACCAGAGGCCTGGTTAACTGGAACAGACTGGCAGATCTCCCAGGAGTGGGGCGTAGGGAGGACTGGGAGAGATCCCCCAAAGAACATATGCAGAGAGGAAAATGGGAGACATCTGTAATACTAGCAACAATAAATACATTGTTTTTTCAATTTATAAATAATATAGCGCAGCTGCTGTGACTCAATGGTTGAGCAGCAACCTATGAGCCAGGAAGTCATGGTTCTATTCCTGGTCAGGGAACATACATGGGCTGTAGGTTCAATTCTCAGTTAGGGGAGAGGTACGTGCAGGAGGCAGCCAATCAAAGATTCTCTCTCATCATTAATGTTTCTATCTCTCTCTCCCTCTCCCTTCCTCTCTGAAATCAATTAAAAATATATATATAAAGAATGACACCAGTGTATGAAATTTCATACATCATAGGACATGGCTCCTTTAGTGTATGTGGGGAAGAATTCCCCTAAACATTGTTGAGAATGATGTAATACTTATTGTGACCAGAGACTATAATTAATATTGTGCACAGAAACACAACAAAGGCCTCCTTTCCAGTGTGAACGTTGACCTCACCAATAATAGAGGCACCAGACTGCAAATTAGAACCACAAAGTCATGCAGATAATTTTTCAAGGCCTTGGGCAGAAGTTTAAAAAAAAAGCCAAAATTGGACAAACTGATTTTCTGCCATTACTATGTGCCTTCCAAAGCACAGAATGTTTGGGACCCCATCATATCTGTTCACATCTCCAACTTTCCTTTCTAGTCATCCCAGGCAGTGAATATAATCCCCAAAATTAAAGGTTCAAAAGAAAAAAAAACACCTTTACTGAATGATCATAACCCAGAACAGAGGACAGCAAGCGGTTTGCAGATTGGTGAATTAGAACCTGAAACAATTCATCACAGCATAATGTGAAAACCACAATGTCCCTGACAGAGGTAGCACTTTTTAGCTGACGATGAGTGCCCTGGATGAAGCCTGTATCAGGTGAAATACATCGTCAGAGATAAAGAAATGAAGGTACTGCCAAGAGCTCAGAGTAATCACAATTTTCTCAAGCACAAGTGAGAACACAGAATACATTTCCCCTGATCACACAGGGGTTGTGACTGATGCACACTCTTCAGGTGAGCCAGGTGTTAGAGGTGAAATCTCTTCAGCCAGAAATACTCATTGTGAAACCAATCCAGTAGTAGGTTTGTGAAGTTCTTATCCATAGAATACAATACTAGTCAGCAATAAAAAAATTCAATATTCACATAAGCATTTGTATTGATCTCAAAATATCTGTAGCATTAAGGAAACCAGTATTTGTTTAAAAGTACACAACTTATAGTGCCTATAAAATTATGAAAAATATGAACTAATCTAATGTAAAGGACGGAAAATAAGTGATTGCATGGAAGACTGGGAAAGTCAGAAAGAAGGATTATAAAAGGGCAGGAGGAAAATGTAGAGTGTGGGAAATGTAGGTTTAGAGTTGTTGGTATGGAAAATAATACATAAAAAACCGGAACAAACTCTGCTTTCACCGTGTACCTCAGCTGGGTGGGTATCATCCAATGAACTGAAACGTCC